GAGAATTAGTATATAGTTAGAGTTAGCTATTTACAAAAATTAAATGTATCTGACTCACATTGGTGTACAGCCGCAGTTTCTTCAGATTGAAAAGTCATATCTGTGGTGGTTTGGGCATGTGTTGCGAATACCTCCAGAAAAGAAGGCTAAGCACCTGTTTCTTGCTGAGCTCACCGGCAAAAGGCCCAAGGGAAGGCCAAGATTAACCTGGTGCAAATATATGGAAGATGAAGATTCATTCTGTACGCTTGAGCAAGTTAGTCTATTTAGAATATTAGTTTCAACAAAAACAATTTATTGCTGAATGCTGCAGATGTCCAGAACAATTTAAACTGACCAAGAAAGACTGAGTGAATAATCCTCAAATCGCGTGGTCAGTTGATAACTAGTAATAGTCATAGTCCGTACATAAAATCATCATCTTTGGGGCTGGGAAGAACTTCGCCAAAAATTTGCAAAATTTTGTCGAAAGCTGCAAATGGAAGGTAGGCAATAGACGCATCTCTGATAGATAGAAAGTTGGAAAAATCGATGATATATGTGATAACTGCATCGTCTAACTTACTATACTCTGTAATTGAGGTCCGCACAGAAAGAGGGAGAACCTCTGAGCTGCGAATCTATCATCAGTCTATCATTAGAACCCTCTGCTGCAAATGAACGGGCAGAACACGAAGACTTGGTGCGAGAAAGAACCAGAAATCAAACGAGAAACTGCACCATCTTCTGTAGACACGAAAACGGAATTAGCAAACAACATCGCTCGACCGTTTGAAGAGATCCCGGTGGTGACCACTGATGTGGAAAGCGGGTGGAGACTCTTCAAAGCAGCTTACTCAAAGACGCTGCTACATGCTGCGGTTTAAGAGGTGCTGGACTGCCGCATGGTCGCCAGAGATGGATTTCCTGACGGACACCAGATTTTCAATTTGGTCTCAAACAGAAGAAGCACTCACAAAATGTGACCTTGAAGCAAACAGCCTTCAACTAGAACGTGTAACGACGAGGGGCAGAAGGCGACAACCATTAAGTCGTGGTTAATGAGAAAGCTGACTTCTGTGAAAACTTCGGTGAGGTGCAGCAGTCGATTTTCCAGACGTAAACAAATATGTCATATTGATTGTTTATGCATATCATGTATGCATCCTTAAACAATTCGCTGTGGATCAGATCTGCACAAGAATGAATAAACCTCACCGTGTATTCTTCCTTGAGTTACGCTGATCTGGGCTAAATAGTCTGGTTTCCATGTTAGCGTCCAGAGAGATGATCCGCCCGTGCCGAAAAATGGGCCTATTCATTATCTCTGACTATTGCAAAATTAACAATGGGACAAGAACAACTGACCAAGGTACTTCACTGATCGTATTTTATTTCCCTAATCAATTAAGGTTACTAATTAATGGATTTATGTGGAAATATTTTATAGACCATTATTGCCTACAATATGAAGCGAATCATTTCAAGAACTACTAACGATCAAATCAGTCAAAGAGTAAACTTTGAAACAGATAACACACTGATAGTTTAATGCAGAACTGTAACTAGCAACATTTAAACTTACTTTTTTGGCATTGTTCAGGCTCTGGTCCCCAGCAATGGTCACATTCGCTGCTACACACACCCTGACCTGAAGATTTAAGTTTGTACCTAATTAATGAGGTAAATGTGAGTTAAATGAAGCATACCTTCCAGACAGCTATATGAGTTGTTTCCAATCAAAATTCTACTCTTATAGTTACTACCAAGGAGCTGTCGAAAGTCGAGAGTGCGCCAGTGGCAAAGGTAAGCATTCAGTTTATAGCCAACGAATCCACCATGGACTACTTTAAAACGATGAAGGTTATGATGATACACTTGAGGAGTTTAAACAGGAATCAACGTTTGCAAGCAATCTATCAGAAGATTCAATTTTACCTCTTAATGATCGCAGGTCCAGAGACTTCATGGCATTGTTCAAAACGAAAAGTCCAAAATCAGCAGAACTTTTGTCAAAAGCAAGGTGAAGCTTCCTATCTCCCCAGATTATCCGAAGATTAGGCAAAGTTAAATTTTCAATTCGATTGTGAGCAATGAGAACATATCCCATTACCTAAAATAATTGTACATACGAATCATGGTAAAACGCTTTAAGTATACTTCTTCAATTTGGTGTAAGAATTCAAGATGTGGATCTCCGGCTTGTATTAAGTCTTCTTGTTCAAGATCAACAATTTCAAGGTTGCCTTGCACAATTGAGCAATTCGTGTAGACCAATTTCAGCCGACCGATTTTTCCTTCAGGAGCTTCAACTTTAGACATACCATTTTCGGTACCAGAACAAACTAAATTTAAAAACGTGAATGCAAATAAATGTATAAAATGAATATTGAAATAATATTCCGTAGTTGAAATTAACAGCAAAAATAGATTTTAGGAAATCAAACTTCAGGATTGTCATAGGGCTAGGTTAAAAGATGCTCCTGCTAAATATGCAATACCGCCAACTAACTAGAGCCTCTGTCAACATAAACAATTTCCATCCAGTTAGAATGAGAAGCAAAACTTAAACAGATAGAGCCTTAATAAAACTCTAGCAATAGCTTAAGCAAAATGCTACAACTTTTAAAAACATCAGTATATCATATCTGTTACCCCTTAGACTTAAGTGATACCATTGCCACCTCAACCTCTTAAATAGACATAGCTGCAAAACATTTCGACCATAAAGTGGTTTCCCTAAGTTCCATCTAATCGATATTCAAGCCAATGCAAAAAACCGGCACATCATTAATACAGCCTACATAAGTAAATTTTGACATACGCAAATTGTCTTGAAAGGGATAGTAAAAAATTACCAGTCATAAAAGCTTTACTTAATCGCCTATGTCACTCAAACCCTCTAAAAGCGGTTTTCCGCAAGCGAGACAGTCTACTTGTTGCATACGTGAGTCTTGGCCAACCTCGTGTTGTAGTGTTTAAAGTTGGCATGTGCTGTGGTAGAGTAAAATTCTCAATGGAAAAAGGAACAGAAGGGAAAAAAGAGAACCCAGGGATAAACAGATTAAAAATGATCTAAATATGAAAATGAATGAAAATTATAAATGAAATATGAGGACGAACAATGCATAACGCCATAGGGCGTGATCTTGGTTTTGCACCGTCATCAGCGACTGCAACTGTGAAGGATGCTGCCCCTACTAATGGAACATGTGAAAGGATTAGCCTCTTTGCGACTGTTCGTTTATCTCCTAATACTTTCGTAAAGAAGGTTGGCCGGCTAGATTTAAAGTCCAAGTTTATTACGCTATAAAAGCTACAGGAGTAACGGTATTTCAACGAAGTTGCCTCACTTTGCATATATAACAATGCACAAGGAATAATGATGGAAACTGACCTTTTTCATTGCCTTAGGTGCGATTTTAAAAATGCAGATTTTATCTAAGGCTGAGCTGAAATCCATTGGGATAGATTAAGGAGCGCAGCAGGTCAGAAATAACCGATC